CGCTCAACATCTTGTGTCAAAGGAGAAGGGAACAAAAAAAGAAGATCTGAAACAGACTGGGAATTGTCATTCATGAAAGAGCATGCCTTCTTAATCCCCACTCCGGTCTTTTTAGCCTGGAAGACTTCAGATTAAAGGGACGATGGTGAATAGGGACCACAGTGACACATTACTTCAGAGAGTGCCCCAGGGTATAGGTAGCCCCACTTTCTGAGCAGCGGGTTGGAGCAGAGTTCTATAGATTCTCTGCTCTTAGATTCTGACCCTCAACTGCAGCATTCCTTAAAGCATTCGTGGAACCTAAGGACTGCAAGATGCTCTCGGGAGAAAAAGATTTCTGTGATTGTATTAGTCGGGGTTCTCCAGAGACAAAACGAATACTGTGTGTGTGTGTTTGTGTGTATGTGTGTGTATCACACATATAGATAGACACCTACGCACATACATATACATAACGAGATTTTAAGGAATTGGCTCATGCAGTTATGGATGCTGACAAGTCCTAAGATACTCAGGTTGGGTCAACAGGTCCAAAAGCCTGAGAACTAGGAGAGTGGGTAGTGTAGTTCCAGTCCAAAGGCCCCACACCCAAGAAGAGCTGATGTTTCATTTTGGGTCCAAAGGCAGGAAAAAGCTGATGTCCCGATTTGAAGGCAGTCAGACAGGAGGAGTTCTTTCTTACTTGGGAGAGGGTCAGCTTTTTTGTTCAATTTAGACCTTCAACTGATTGGGCGAGGCCCACCCACACTAGAGAGGGCAGTGTGTTTTCCTCAGTCTATCGACTTAAATGTTAATCTTGCCCCAAAACACCCTCACAGAAACAGCTAGAGCAATGTTTGATCAAATATCTGGGCACCTTGTAGTCCAGTCAAGTTGACACATAGATTAATCATCACAGCGATCAGATAAAATTGGGACACTCTGTATCTCTAGTTGGGTCTTAGACCTTCCAGTGCATGTTAGTGTGTTATTAAAGGTTCTGAGAAGTTCAGCAGTAAAGAAACCTATTTGACTTGTTCAGTCAAGGGTTTTGCTTATTTATGTGACAATAAATTTTTGTGTGTATGTATGTGTTGGGGGAGTGGAGGGAGAGGGTGTAGGGAACAAGCAAGATACCTGTTAAAATCCCATGCAACTGGGTTCTATGGACCAGGCAGTAGGAAACACTGTCCTGGAGACATCAGGTGAGACAGCACTGGTCCTCAGAATTTCCTCTATCATAACTCATCCTTGCAAATGCTTGATTTTGGCTTCTTGGACCTCTCTTCCCTGCTCTCCACTGTGCTGTTGGCAGCGTGAAGGTGTCCTGTCCATGACAGGGGCAACTGTGCATGTTGAAGCTTCCATGCACCATCATAGTCAAACTGTACATCCAAAAGAGAACTTTCTGAGAGTTCTTAATTAGGCTGCATGTACTGGGTGCTCATTCAGTGCTGAGTTGGTACTAAGTTCTGTATACACACGGTATGAGTTAGAAACAGGTACCTCATTTTGCAGATAAATCTGCGCAGAGAGTTTCCGTTACTTTCTGGCATGTGGGAAGTCAGGATTTGAACCCAGGCAGGTGTGCTCCAGAACCATGCCCTTTCCCACCATGCTATCCTGGTTCCCACTCTGTGGCTGGGAACTTTAGGGACAAAGGAAGCAGAGGCCTCACGAGGCATGTCATTTGAAATCAGTCTATTGATGGCAAAAGGGAAAACTGGGGAGATTAGGGAATGGGAGGAAGAGAATGCCAGTTAGGGAAGAGAGATTTTGTGTGTTTCTAAAATGTGCACACCTTCCAGAGGGAAAGGCGGCAGAACATCGGCTTAAAATGTCCTGGTCTGTCATCAAACTTGCTGGTGACAGACCCAGCTCAGCTGTGTTTCACTGGGTGCACGAATGGCCAGGCACCCTCTGAGGTGATCCCTGAGAGCGCCAGATGAGGGCGGAGGTAGTAACAGGCAGCAAGGCCCTGCTAACTGGGTCTATAATTGGTGTGGCTTGGGCAAGCTGGGTGCGCCCAAGTATCTGGCGTGCTGTCTGCCTGTCTGCTAAGTGAGCAAGGCAGCTGCACCCACAGAGGAAGAGTAGTGTGTGTGCACACGCCTGTGACGGTGTCTGTCTTCAGCAGCCAGTGCTCATCAGGGCCTCGCCCCTGCCACAGAGGTGGCCACGGGAGTGTGTCTGCATCCGTGTGTACACACACCACACGTACATGTGTTCCTGCACCACACAGTACTTTCAAATTATTTGTCTTAAATTCTAGTTTTATCATATTGTTTATATTATATTATATCCTTATTAATCATGTCACTCCCAATAAAAACTGCCTGAGGTCATAGGCCTCATTTTCACCGCCAGTGTCCAGAACACGGAAGTACCCAATAAATATTTTGAAGAAAAGGACAGACTACTAGGTATGATCTTTTAGTGAATGCCCTGAAATTACCTCTTCATATGAATTGCACCGCTTTAGCAGAACTCCACGGAGAAATGTCTTTTAGCTCTCCCAGCCTCTTCCCCTCCTGCTCTCCGTTCCCCTCCCCCTCCTCCCTTCTGTCCTGCCTTCTTCCTCTCCCCTTCCCTCTCACCTTCCCCACTTCCTCATCCTCCTCTCCTCCCCCATTTTCACTTCCTCCTCCCCTTTCTTCTCCCTCCCCCTTCTCCTTCCTTCTGTCCTCCCTTTTCTCCTCCCCCTCCCCTCCCCCACCTCCTCCTCCCCTTTCCCTCCCCTCCTCCTCCTTTCCCTCCTTTCCCCCTCCTTCCCTTCCTTTCCTTCCCTTCCCCTACTTCTCTCCCCCCCCCCCCCCCGTCCTCTTCTTCCCCCTCCCTCTTGCTCGGCACCCCTCCAGACCCCTGGTGCTCAGAGTCATCTCTGGCTCCAGCCCATCCTCTTGAACATCCTTAGTGATGATTTTTTTTACCTTTTTTCCTAAGAGACAAAAGTTATTTGGAACCAAGCATATGAGCTGGTCTGTTGGCCAAGTTGGTCACTAACCCAGAGATGATAAATGAGGTGTAGTAATCAGACTGATATTTTTCTGAGTATTAATACTTTTTGGAAGAAGGCCCAATGCCCAGAGGGTGGGATGAACTGCCCTCTAAGTTTCCTTGTGCGGTGGTTTGGGAGTTGGATGCTGAACTGATGGGCGTGATCAGAAGAGGGTAGAATGTGCCCGGCATCTTTTCCTAGTGAACCTGGGAATGTGGCATCCGTGAACTTCAGCAAACGAATCCAAGAGGAGAGGGGGAAATGGACAATGCCTAGAATCTCCAAGGGCCTGCTGTGATCGGATTGGTAAACCAAGGTTAATTTAGCCTCCTCCTCTGCCAAGCCTTCCCTCTGCCTTCCTCTTGTCACCGTGGCACCTTGGAAGACACTCCCCCCACTCGATTTCCTCACTCCTGTGCTTGCATCTTACTCCACTCTGTGCTCATTACCTGCCGGGAGAGCCAGGCCCTTCCCTGTGGTCAGTGGAACCTTTGTCCCTGCTGCTGCCCTCATAGCTTAGCCCAGAGCCTTGCACGCTCTCAGCCAAGGCTGTTTTAAGATCTTCACAAATCCATATCAAAGCATCCATACTAAATGCCTCATTAATATAATTTTTATTGTAAAAAAGATTTGGAAAGTTTAAAAACCATTTAGAATTTTGGGGATGCAAATAACTCATTGAGTTTACAATAGGCTCTGATTTCTTGGAAATTATTAAACCAACTCAGAAACTCTTACTGAAAAAAAATTTAATCTACCAATTATCTTTAGATGTGATGAAACATTTATGAATATACCATTAACAGGGCAAGTTGACATCAAGTTATGCTTTGTGGACATTTAATTAAACATTAAAACTTCTTTGATTTTGTATTGTTTTCCTTTTTTATATTTGAGAATTAATAATATTTTGCATATTTCAAACACTTAAAGGTCTCTGAAAAAATTCATAGGCCAGAGGCTATGTGTATACAGAGCTGAGTGGACAAACTGACCCTGTTCGGCCCTTGGTAGTTACAGGGTAGGGAAGGGGCAGGAGGGGGAGGTAAAGGAGGGGGACATGATGGCTGGAGAAGTCCAGGGTCTCAGAGCCAGCTGGGTGGTGGGCGGAGCTGAGGCTAGGATCAGAGCTGTATTCTGGAATCTTCTCTGATGTTTAGCTGATTTCATCTGTAAAAGGGCTTTAAAACCTTGTTCTGTTGCCTGGAGTGCCTCTCTTCTAACTCTCCAGATCCCCGTTTAGCTCCTTCCCTCTCTTCATTCAAGACGACTCAAAGTCATCTTAGTCAAAGTGGCACCTCATCCTCCTCCAAAACATGATGCAGTGGTTAACCATTAATACTATGAAGACAAATAAATCAGGACAAGGAAGTAGGGAGTGTCCCCTGTCATGTATTAGTTTATTTGCTTGCATGCGGTCTGTCTGGACCCTCTTCCTCAGTGGGATTATGTTCTGTTCACTGCAGCGTCTCCAGCACCTTGGACAGTGCCTGGCACCTATTATCTCAAACAGAGTAAATAATTGTTGGTTCCAGTAAATGAGCAAAGGACTAATCTTTGTCTGCCTTCCCTCAATGGGTGTTGGGAGAATCAGGTGAGGAGAGATTCACTCTTCAAATGATAAACTAATGTGCCAGGGGCCCCAGGAGTCAAAACACGTTTTCTGTTTGCAGAGGGTTTTGCAGAGGGTTTTCCAGGTGTTCACGACGTGGCTCACAGAACAGCGGCTCTCAATCAGTATCAGGTGACACTGATGCTGTGGGTCACCAGACTGCACTGGGAGAAGCCCTTACAGAGATACCAGTTGTAACTTTTGCTTCATTTTGCAGATCAAGATGAGAACCTAGAGTCCCTGGCTCTCTCAGGCTGGAATGCAGTCTGACCCTTGATCCCATGGTTCCAAAGTTGGTGGCAGGTGGAGATGGGGGGCTTCCCTTCTTGGGAGCCCAGGAGCCTGCACCATGACTCTGGTTTTGGTATCCCTTGGTACTGGAGTTCTAGTCTTCACACTTCTTCTTTTTAGATGGGAGGATTTGAGAGCTGCCAGCCACACAGACTGTTCAGGGTGCACACCAGGTCCTGCAGGGCCAGCTGGGCCATGTGACCTGGTTCACACTCAGCCTGAAGCCTTCATTGTGAGTATTGATGGGAGCTGTGCTGTCTTGGAAGAGCAGGCCTGGGTGCCTCCAGGAGGGCAAGTTACTACCTGACGACCTTGGCATGGGGCACAGAGTTGCTGGCAGCCCAAAGCTAGTGAGCCAAGTGTGGATGGACGCAGCCAGTTCACTGCTTCTCCAAAGCAAGACAGATCCTCCCAGCCTGACCTGCTATACAAAGGGCCTGTGAACAACTCTGGTGCAGCCCCTGGCTGGGTGGCTATTGATGCTGGACTGTGGGTCCTGGCTGCTGAGCCCCTGACAGACACCAGGCAGCACCTAGCATGCGGGTCACATAGTACTGTTATGTCTGCAGAGCAGAGTCGGTACCCTTGAATCATGAGACAGGTTTGAGGGGCCATCAGGCCTTGGCCCCAAAAGAGTGCAAAAAACCAGGTGGCAGTTACCTTACTTGAGTCATCTGGCCTCATTCATTGGTTCATTCTCTTGTTCATTCCATAAAAATGTATTAGGCACCTTCTTTGAAGACACATTGATGAATAAGACAATCCCTGTCCTCAAGGAACTTAACCAATAAATGATGCCTCAAAGCACAAGCATTTACAGAGCAGCTGCTGGATGCACAGTGCTGCACACAGTAGGCACCCAGCCACGTGCTGGGGGAACATTGAGAAGGGAGTGAGAACAATGCCAGGGAAGACTTCTTCATGAAGGCAGAGGAAAAAGGCATTCCATATAAAGATGTGAGAGTTGTAAAATATTTGGAGACGGTGAAGAAATTTGGCGTAGTAGCAGTGTAGAGAAGAGAAGTAAGAGCTAACTTTTGTTTAGCAAGGAGTCCCAACCAGGCAATGTTCTGAGCATGCTGCACATCTCTTTAACCCTTGGAGATGGTGACCACTCCTGTTATACAGTTGCATAGCCTGAGACCCAGAGAATTAATGCTCCAGGCCGTGCAGGTAGTAAGTGATAGAACCAGGTGTTAAACCATTCACCAATTGGCACTTAATCAATCTGACCCTTGATTTCTCCATCTGTAAAGTGGGATTCTCAGGCTTCCCTTGCAGATTTCTTGGAGAGAATAAGAAAGCTATGCAGGACTTAAATGTCCATCAACAGATGAATGTATAAAGAAGATGTGGTTTTATATATATATAAATATATATATATACAAACACACACACACACACACATATATACACATACACACACCACATATATATATACACATATACATAGACATATATAATATATACATACAAATATATATAATATATATATATATACACACACACAATGGAATACTACTCAGCCATAAAAAAGAAATAATGACATTTGCAGCAAAATGGATGGACCTAGAGATTGTCTTACTAAGTGACGTAAATCAGTGAGAGAAAGAAAAATATCATTTGATGTCACTTATATGTGGAATCTGAAAAAAATGACACAAATAAACATTTTCAAAACAGAAACAGACTCACAGACATAGAAAACAAAGTTATGGTTGCCAAAGGAGAAAGTGGCTGGGGGGGATAAATTAGGGGTTTGGGATTAGCACATACAAATTATTATACACAAAACAGATAAACAACAAGGACCTATTGTATAGCACAAGGAACTATATTTAGTAGCTTGTAATAACCTATAATGAAAAAAATGTGAAAAAGAATATATATGTGTGTAACACTGAAAAAAGAAAAGAAAGCCCTGCATGAACGCACATGGAAAATCTGTGAAAAGATACAGGATTCATAAAACACTTGGTAGCACTGGTTACCATGGGGAGGCTGTCTGTGGGACCAAGAATTAGGAGAGAGAGCATAAGGTACCAGTCACTGGATCACTTACTGGGCCTCCAGTGTGTAAAGGTTAAATGACAAGGAACTTCAAGAGCAAGGAGCTGGGGTGGGGGTCCAGTCTGAAAGGAGAAAGAGAAGCTGAGGCTGGTGTTCCTGGAGCAGGGATGGCAGCTGTCGGTAGTGGACAACCCCGGCCTCCGCTACACTCCCAGACCTCGCTCTTTGAGGGGAAGGACACTGTGGCGACAGGCCTCCTCCTTCATACACTATGTATATTTTATCTCTGCAGATTTCTTGCAGGCTTGGTTTAAAGATCTCAGCTCAATACCATTAGTGTATATCTGCAGAGCGCCCTTTGTAAAATTGATTAGAAAGTGGGCTTTTGCATGTAGGGGCGGGGGGCAGGATGGGACCTAATCGGATTTGAGCACTAGATGGTATCTAATTCCTTGCATCTAGCAACTGGCTTGGGGACCTCCCTTTGAGCCAGAGCCCCTAATTTGGTTTGCGAATACATTAGCCAAACAAGCTGGAGAAGAGGGGCTCTTTTGGGGAGAGGGTTTTGGGGGGATGGGGCCAGGACATCGTGGGAAGGGTGAGGAAATGGAGAATGGGGTGCTTTCAGCACAGGCTCTGGGGGTAGCTGGACCCAGGATTACCAAGGATGTGCATTTCTGATGGTTTTACCCAGTCCAGGAGGATGAAGAAAACTTTTAAAGGGACTTGTATTGCTTGCCATTTACTGAGCCCATACATATATATATATCTTTTTCACTTTTCAATTTTTTAAGTAATATTTACATGTCTAACAAAAAGAGTCAAACAGTTTTAGAGTCTAGGCTGGTAAATTATTCTTTCTCCCCTAGTCCTTGGTCCCATAGACAGCTTCCCCAAAGTAACCACTGTTACCAAGTTTTGTGTGAATTTTGTGTCTTTTCCCAGATTTTCCATGTGCACACACAGCTTTCTTAATCCCTCCAAGAAACCTACAAAGGAAGCCTGGGTGTCCCATTTTCCAGATGGAGAAATTGAGGCTCAGATTGGTAAAGTGCCAGTTGGTAAGTGGCAGGGCTGGGATCCAAGTTGTCAGTGATATGGCTTTAAATCCTGGGGTCTTTTCACAGGATCATGTACCCTGAAAATACAGGGGACTGTTCAAAGCTGAAGTCTTGGATTTTTACTTCTCCAACTTTCTTCTTGGGTTCACTCATGCACTATCATTTTGCCCAATTGTACCAAAATACCCCCAAAACAGGGTGGAAACTTGCAAGGGCATCTTGGTTGGAGACTCCTTTAATTTGACAGCCCTTCGGGAGAGGGCACTGAGTCCTTGTCTGCTTTGTTAGGATCTTGTGGGCAATCTCCTCTGTCCACTTCCCTACCAGGCACTTGTGTGTGTGTGTGGGTGGGTGGGGTAGGGGGCAGGAGGGAGGTGTGTGTGAATAACAGTGTGTGCAGCAAAATAAGTGTGGCATCAGAATCTAGGGTCAGTGCCCTGCTTATTACAGGTGGTAACAGAACCAGCCTCATAAGGTTCCTGGGAGGTCTGAATAATAGGATGGCACAGCACCTGGCCCATGGTAAGCTCTCAATAAATATTAGCAATTATTAATAATACTAGCAAGGTAGCCTTTAATATACTGCTCATCTACTCTGTACAAGTTACCCCTACCAGAATGAAAGAATAGTATTGTTCTTACATTATTATACTATGATTTACTATTATTTAATAGCTAATATTATTCAAAATACAATTCCATTTACATAATAGAGTTGTTTTCAACAAATTGGTATAATGACAGGCATACAAGAAACTCTCAATAAATGTGATTTTTCATTTTTGTTCCATTCCCTTTACCAGCTTTAAATCAAGCTCTTGGTTTTCTTTTATCTCCATTCTGAATCTAATTTCTGTAAAATGAACCAATTTTCATTTTTACTCAATATTTATTGAGCACTAGCTGTTTACTTGGCACTCTGCTACATGCTGGGGGCGCAAAAACAAATACAGGTAGTGGACCCTACCCTCAAGGGGCTGATAATCAAATAGGGGAGACTGAGAACAGGGGCACCAACTACAGTCCAAGCTGTGTGGGGGGGCTGGGGAGAGTGGGGGAAGGGGTGAGGGTAAAGGGATAGGCTGCTTCTCCCCACATGGAAGGGTTTGCAGGGACCCGAAGACCTCAGCCCTGATGCTGTACTGTAAAAGTCTGAATTATGTAACAGCTGGATTACCCAGTGATTATTAGCTTTGCTTAAAGATTTTCCGCTTACACGAGGATTAGCTGTGGGGTTCCTTTAAATAGCTGGTTTTGCTAATGCATTTGTACTGCAGAGAAAGAGGGGGTGAGAAAAAAGGGGACAGGACTATGAAGCAGAAGGCCTGAGCTCTAAGCCCAGTGTGTGATGGTCATTTTACCTCTTGGAGCCTCAGTTTTCTTTTCGAAAGTAGAAGTGACCTCCCTGCCCAGTCCCACAGTGCAGGCAGGAGGACCTGAACGCTGTGTAAATGACCTAGGCGGCCGCCGCTCCAGCTGCATGTGCATTGGGCTGGGCAGACCCGCCTCACAGAGCAGGTGTGATGCATCAGCCCAGCTGATGCTCCCAGATCCCCGCAGCCTCCCTGCAAAGTTCGAGAGTCTAAACAAATGCCCTAATGTAGCACCCGGGGATTTTCTGGAATGAACCCTTGCCCACCTCTCCTTCCAGATCTCCTGCCATGTCCTCATTTGTCCCACTGCCACATACCTTTGTCCCAGACAGCCCAGGACACTTTGGATTCCAATTCCCCAGATGCATACTGCCTGCCATTCCTATCTGTGATTTGCACATGGTGGTCCCGTTGCCTAGAGACCATGCCAAACTCACTTTCTTTATTGGTCTGGCTAACACCTTACCTGTCCTTCAAGACAGCCTAGAGGACATCTCCTCCAAGAAGACTTCCCTGACTCCCTTCCTCTCTGCTTCTTGGGTCTGTGCAGATGTGTGTGTGTGACTCTATCATAACACTGTTGGACACTTTATTGTCAGTGTTTACTTGTTTGTATCTGCTATAAGGTGCCAAGCTTAGGGGTAGGGTCCTTGTTGGGTTTGACTCAGTACATGTGTAGTAAATGATATTAAATAAATGAGTGGCAACTACATTTTATATAAGGTCAGGCACAGGAAGCAACTCCACTCCCCCAGGAACCACACAGCATGTCCTTAAGAGCCAAACCC